GCGCGGTTTACGCGGCGCCTTTGAGCCTCTTCCCAGCGGGAGCGCTGCCAGCAAAACCACCCCAAGCGGCGGCTGCGACGTGCCGGCAGCTCAGCCGCCAACGACCACGGCGAACAGCCAGGCGGCCGACTACGCGGCGAAGCTGGCAGTCCGGTTCCTCCTGGGGGAGTGCCCAGACGACTTCTTGCGGGCGAATCGAAGGCATCTAGGGGCGCGCCTGATCGTTTTGCGGAAGCCCAGTCGCTGTGTCCGCTATGTCGCCTGCGCCTCTATCATACGAAAGATTGCAGCAGAGGCCGCCTGCTACGTGTACCGAGACGAGCTGCGAGACGGCTGCGGGGCGCAAAGCGGGCTGTCAGAAGGTTCGCATGCCGATTACGGCTCTCACGGCGGCGGCGCCGGCTCACGTGGTTTTCGCGATCGACGCCACCAACGCCTTCAACTCGGTCCTCGAGCAGAAAATGCTCGAGGGGGTTGCGGCCCGCGTTCCAGGGCTGCTGGGCCGGGCCGCGACCTGGCTCGGCCACCCCGACAACGCACCTCTGGCGGGCCGCAGGCACCACGGCCGGGGAGGTGAGAGCCACGAGCGGGGTGGACCAAGGCTGCCCCCTCTCCCCGGGCTACTTGGCCTTAGCCCTCGCGGGGCCACTAGTAGCCATCGACGGCTGTCTACGCCAGCTGGCGCCGACAGCCCGCGTGTTCTCACACCTCGACGACGTGATGGTCGTCTTGCCCGCCTCCGTCGCCGAGCAGGACCCCGACGTGGTGGTTGAGGGCCTCACATCAGCTGGACTCACGCGCAACGAGAGCAAGACGGCTGCCTGGACTGCAGACTCGACAACGCAGCTCCCGGCGCGGCTTGCCCACTTCCAGAAATTGACCTTACGCTGTCTGGGCGCCGCCGCCCCCTGGGTAGACCGCGAGGACCCGTTCTCGCGTCTCGTTGTGCACGGTCAGGCGGACGGCAACGAGGCCGTGCAATCTCTTCAGGGCCAACTACGAAGACGGCGTCTGGACCACCAGAATGGACGAAGCCATCGTCAAAGGCGTAGAAGACTCACTCGGGTGCCCGCTGCGCGCTGACCAGAAAGCACAGTGCTTCCCACGACTCGCGCACGGAAGACTCGGGCGGACCTCGGCGGCGCCGACGGCTGCGGCAGCTTACCCGGGAAGCTGGGCCCCGACCTCGAAGAGCGCACGAGCTCGTCTGCGCGTGGCGCCCTGGCAGAGCTTCGCGGCGCGGTGCCCTGCGGAGGCCGACGCCACCGTGCGCGCAGTGGCAGGACCGCGAGCGCAGGGACACGGCGCCATCGGCGCAGTGGGCCGGGCCGGCTGCCCAGACGAACTGCCCGCTGGCCGGCAGGGGCACGGCATCGGGCTGCTGCGGCAGCGGGCCCCGCGGCGCCTTGCTCTGGACGCTGGGGGAAGACGGCCGCGTGGACTTGCGCTCGCGGGAGGGCCTGGCGCGGGAGGGTGGCTCGAAACCCCTGTCGCCGGGGAAGGGCAGACTCTGGCGAAGGTTCCCCGCGGCCACTTCCAAATGGGATTAACAGACCGCCTGCAGGCCTCTGCGCCCATGGAGCGCAGCACCACCTCCGCAAGCAAGATGGCACGGTCTGCGGTGCGCCGTTGGACAGACGGGTGGGACACGCGCTGAAACGCCCGTGCGGGCCTTTCAGGACGGGGAAACAAGACACGATGCAAGAACGACCCGACTCCCAAGACCGTGCGGTGACCCGGAATCCCCACCGACTCACCGCACGGTGTGGTCACCGCACCGTTTGGGGGCCCCCGACTGGAACCGCGAGGACGACAAGCGCCGGAAGTACCCACCTCATGGCGGTGACCTCGTCCGGTCGTCTTCAAAACGGGCGGTCGCCCAGGAGACGCGGCGGTGGTCCAGGTGCGGTCCCTGGCGCACGCCCTGGAGAGGGGGCGGCCCGCACCGCGGTGCTGCGGTGCGCCCCGCAGCAGCCGAGCTGCCTCCTCAAGAGGTGGGGAGCGCTGAGGCGCTGCCTGCGGCCAAGGGCACCTGATGCCTCCCTGGCGGATCGGCGCGGCGCCCGCACAGCAACACTGGTGCAGCGAGCACCAAGGCGGCCATCAGACAACCGCGGCAGGACCGCTTGCAGCACCACGACCGCACCATCCACCACGGCGAGCGCGGCAAGGGCACCTACCTCTCCGTTCACTCCCTCCTCCCGCCCCTCCTCCCCCTCCCCTCCCCTCCGGGTCGGCCGCCCTAGTCTGCCGGTGGTGCCTTCTCCTCCTCCTCCTCCTCCTCCTCCTGCTCCTCCTCCTCCTCGTTCTTCTCCTCATCCCCCTCCCTCCTCCTCCTCCACTCCTTTTCCTTAGAAACAACTTCTCCCAATCACACCTCGAGGCCAATTTTTAATGCAGGCCGGACGTTTCGCCTGAGACGTCCCCACCATTTATGACTCTGAAGCTGAAACATTGGCAACAGTTTCACAGATGGAGGGCGGGTAGTTTTCAAAATGTAGCTCTCGCTTGAGCGCGGCGCACATTCGTTTTAAACATGTGGAAGAGCTTCACGGATTGAGGGCGAGTGGTTTTCAAAATGTGGCTCTTCACTTAGCGCGGCGCATATTCGTTCTGAACAGTTGCAAGAGTTTCACGGGTGGAGGGCGAGTGGTTCTCCAAGTGTGGCTCTCGCCTTTGCGCGGCGCACATTCGTTCTAAACATTTGGAGGAGTTTCACGGATTGAGGGCGAGTGGTTTTCAACATGGTGCTCTCGCCTTTGCGCGGCGCACATTCGTTTTAAACATTTGGAAGAGTTTCACGGATTGAGGGCGAGTGGTTTTCAAAATGTGGCTCTCGCCTTAGCGCCGCGCAAGTTCCACGGGTTCCCCTCATCAACGTATCAGAAATGGGGTTATGGAAGGATTAAAGATTATGCGGGCGCAACAGTTAGGTTGGTTCTCTGTGTTGAAGTCCCGGGAATGGCGTTCTGGCGCGATTCAGGATCGTCAGGACGCAACAGTCAGGTTGATCCGTGGCATTGGGATCCTGAGAAAAATGTTTTGGCGTGCTTCGGGGTCTTCGAACGGGTGTCTTCCAACGGGGCAGTTCCCTCCATGGAAATGAACCGTTGTAGGCGCCTATGAAGAGGGAGCTTGGAGGGAGGGTTTACTCCAACATCGTTGATGACCCTTGGGCTTGCACTGGTCCTCCTCCTCCTCCTCCTCCTCCTCCTCCTCCTCCTCCTTCTCCCTGCTCCCTGCTCCCTCCTCCTCCTCCTCCTCCTCCTCCTCCTCCTCCTCCTCCTCCTCCTCCTCCTCCTCCTCCTCCTCCCCCCCTGAGCGGCGCGGGCCAGGCCTGGGCCCGATCCTGGTCCGAGGCTGGCCCGCGGGCGACGTGTGCAGGCCAGGTGCGCTGGCTCGGTGGTGGGCACAGGCGGGCACCCAAAACTGACCTGTCTGCACTAAAACTATTCAAAAGATGCCCAAACATACTGAAACAAATGTCCCCAGAGTATGTTTTGACTATTTTTGAAGATTCCCCCTGTAGAGGGACAGGCCCGACTTGAAACCAAGCGGGTACGAACGAACGAGCGCCAGATCCGTGCGCACGCCGCGTGGGCGCCCGCACGCGCCCGTGTGGGCGTGGCGTGGCGGTGGAGGCCGTAGCCTCGATGCGAAACCAAAAAGGTGTGGTGTGTCTGAGGAGCATGCAATGCGAGATGCATGAAGCAGTTAGGAAAGAAGGGAGGGGGGGAGATCCTTGGAGCCGGGCACCTAGAACTAAAACTGAACTATGGGTACCGAAGACTGATTTCCGAGCGGGCGGTCGCCCTCCGTGGAACTCGAATGGCCAATTGCCAAATCCCTGTCAGCGTGCACCCTGGAACTCGCTCCACAGTTGAACGGGCGCCAGGGCCGCGGATGCAAGAAAAGAAGGCGCAGGAGGCATCATATTATGCTGATGATGCTGCTGATGATGCTACTGCTGATGATGATGCGACTAATGATGATACTGATACTGATGATGATAATGATGCTTGTGAGGATGATGATGCTGATGATGATGTTGACGATGATGGTGATAATGATGATGCTGCTGGTGATGATGATGATGACGATGACGATGACGATGACGATGACGATGATGATGATGATGATGATGATGATGATGATGATGATGATGATGATGATGATGATGATGATAATGGTGACGAGGAGGGGGAGGAGGAGGAGGAGGAGGAGGAGGAGGAGGAGAAGGACGATGCGGAGGAGGAGGATGAGGAGGAGGAGGATGAGGAGGAGGAGGAAGAGGAGGAGGGGGGGGCAAACGGTCCGAAGGCCACGCCGTCCAGGGAGCCAAGTGTTCGGGTAGAGCGGACAATTTTGGGGCCAAGGTCGTTCTCGGAGGATGCCTCGGACCCCTGGGGCCGCCATAGTTTCCAAGCGGTCCCGTGACTGACAGTTTGTTCTCTGAGTACGGACAGGGGCCCTCTGCTGCGGCGTGCAGGAAGGCCAACTAATGCCTGCCTAGAGAACTAAGCAATGACATAAGCATGAATAGTCGGAAGTCCGAGTTTTCAGGTTTACGTCATTGGTTGTTAGTTGTTTACTGCCGCATTTGCAACTTCGCACTGACCGTCTGGGCAAGGTGCGGCCTCGGGCAGGGCTCTGGCCAGGTCCTGAGCAGGCGGTTAGGAGCTGCCGCCACGGCGGTCTCCGAGCGGGTGTAAAGGGGGCGTGCCAGGCCAGACGCCAAAGGGCAGAAAAGTGTCAGCGTGGTGGCATCTTGGCCCTGCCACACCGCGGCCAGGCCGACACGCGCCCACCACTGCACTGACGCTTTCTGCGCTTGCCGTTGTCCGAGGCCTTCGGGACTGCGAGGCCATGCGTCCATCTGCCGCCGGGCGGCTTCTGTGGGGGGGGGGGGGGGCCCTCGACGCGACGCGGGCCTGCTTGAAGACCTGCGGCTCGCCCGGGGTGACGGGGCCGAGCGGATCGCAGATCCAGAAGTTGCTGTCCTGCCCGCCCGGGCCGCCGTCGCGGCTTCGGCGGGGAAGCGCACCACGACGGCGAAGGCGAGGGGGACGAGAATTGCACAGTTAGCGTGAGAAGGCGTGTGGGATGCCTCACGAGCGGCGGACGTGTCCATATTCACGCCCTCGCGGTCCATATTCACGCCCTCGCGGTCTGGATTTCGGGGTGCGATCCCGTGGATACGCGGTCGCATGGACACGTTCCGCGCGGGGCATCCGCGAAACAGAAACCCGTATCCACGGGGTCGCTTTCCGGGGGTCCGGCCCGCGAGGCTGTCCAGGGATCGCTGTCCAGGGGTCCAGATGATTGGCTTGTACCCCGCCTCCTGAGGCCCTTCCTCACCCAGTTTCAAAGACCCGTTTGCCCCTGGGGTTGGGATCCTGGTGTCGTCCACTTCCTGTCTGGGCCGCAGAGACTGTTAAATAGCCCACTTGGAAGACGGCCCCAAGTGGCCCAAGCTGGCCTCCAAGATGGCCCAAGTTGGACCAAGACGGCCTCCGACAGGCCTCCAAGATGCCCTCATACGGCCCCCCAGGAACTCCAGGCGGCCATGGAGCCTTCCAAGAATGCCCCGGAGAGGTAAACAAATCTGCCGACCCTTCGGCGTGTGTGAGACGCTGTCGTCGTCGTCGTCGTCGCCAGTCCCAAGGAAGCTGAAGAACGAATGCGAAAACACGCTGTGATTCAGTGGATCCCGTTGCCTTTTTCTCTTCCCTGACGCGGGGGGGACTGCGGGCGGGGGTAAGGCGGGGGGGGGGCCCGGGTCAGATTGCCGCCCTCCTTGGGTCCCGGCGGGTCCCGGGGGGGTGGTCCCCCTGGTGGACGGGGGGGGACTGGGGGGGGGACCACCCGCAGCTCGGAGTAAGCCCAACCAACTGGGACCAATCCCAACCAAATGGTACATTTTCGAACCAACACGAAGCGACGAACTGGTACGAATTCCAACGTGCCAAATAACCCGTCAATGTGATCTCATTGTGAAGCGGTGTTAGTATATCCCAAATCCAAACGGTTGGGTTATGCGGGCACATGTGTTCCAGAAGTTAACATCACTACCCCGGTTGGAATTGGTACCCAGACGGCTTGCGATTATGTGGAACTCAAGATGTGGATGTGGATGGCTGTATTGCTAAGTCGCTACACAATCTGACACAACAGAGAAATTAACTCCGCAGACTCTTTTGGGGCCATCAAGATACGAATGAGAGGCTTGTGAACCTTTGTTGTTTTGCCCCCTCCCCCTTCCCCCTTCTCCTCCTGTTCATCTATGATTTTCTGCTGCGCGAGACACCAGACAGTCTACCGCGACAGCCGCGTGCACCACAGTCCTCGTGTAAACTCCTACGGATTATTCTGGATTCCTTGGGATCTTGTAAGGCGCCGTACGACTGGTTCCTCAGGATTCCTTCGGATGCGGTCGGATACCTCTGGATGCGGTGGGGTTTTGTAAGACACCTGAAGACCCCCGCGAACAAATTCTTCAAGATTCCGTGGGACTCCGTCAGAATTGCAAGACTCCTTTCAATCTCTGGTGGTTCTGTAGGGTTCCTTGGCGGCGAGGGATTCCTGAGTGGTGCCATGTATGTTCTTAAGATTCCTCCCATGCGCCTCTGAAACACGCCTGTGAGACGCCTCTCAGAAGCGCTTGTAAGAGGCGCCTGTCAGACGCCTCTCAGAGGCGCCTTTAGGTCATCCCTCTCAGGGACGCCTGGAAGAGACACTTGGAAGCCTCTCAGAAACACCTGTGGAAGGTGCCTGTGAGACGCTTGCTCGGCGCTTCTACGACGCCTCCCAGAGGCGCCTGGAGTACGCCTCGCAGGCGCCTCGCAGAGGCGCCTGTAGGACACCTCTCAGGAGGCGCCTGTAAGACGCCTGCCAACGACACAACTGAGGCGCCTGTAAGACGCCTCGCAGAGGCGCCTGTAAGACGCCTCTCAGAGGCATTTCGAAGACGCCTCGCAGAGGCGCCTGTACGACGCCTCGCAGAGGCGCTTGTGAGACGCCTGTATAAACCCTCCCGGAGACGCCTGTAAGACACCTCTCAGAAGCGCTTGTAAGACACCTCGCAGAGACGCCTCGCAGAGGTACCTGTGAGACGCCTCTCAGAGGCACTTGTAAGACGCCTCGCGACGGCACCTGTAAGATGCCTCGCAGTGGCGGCCGTAAGCCGCCTCGCAGAGGCGCCTGCCAGATGTGCAAAACGCCTCTCAGAGGCGCCTGCGAAACGCCTCCCAGGGGCGCCCGTGAGACGTGGGTAAGACGCCTCGCAGAGGCGTCTGTAAGAGACGCCTCACAGAGGCGCCTGGAAGACGCCTCGAAGAAGCGCTTGTGAGACGCCTCGCAGAGGCGCTTGTAAGACGCCTGGCAGATGCGCCTGTAAGACGCCTCGCAGAGGCGCTTGTAAGACGCCTCGCAGAGGCGCCTGTCAGACGCCTGTCAGAGGCACGTGTAAAACGCATCTCAGAGGCGCCTGTAAGAGACGCCTCACGGAGGCGCCTGGAATACGAGTCGCACGAGGCGCTTGTGAGACGCCTCGCAGAGGCGCTTGTAAGACGCCTTTCAGATGCGCCTGTAAGACACCTCGCAAAGGCTTGTCATCTAGGTTGGTTGGGGCTGATACCGCAGTGGTTGGAATTAGTATAAATCGGTTGGAACTTTGTCTGGTTCATTGTAAGTTGTCCCATTGCTGGGGCCGCCCCCTGGGGGGGGGTCGCCAGCGGGGGTCCTGGGGGAGGTCCCGCCTTCAGGGTCGGCGGCACCGGTCGCAAGCCCTTCATAATATAGAATAATGATCAGTTTTCCAATGTTGTTTTTCCCCACATCGGGTTCTTGTTTTCTAAGCACACCCTCCGCGCAGGATCTCCTCACCCCTCTCCTTCTCACTCATCACACTCATCATCATCATCATTCATCATCGCATCTCTTCCTCACTCACACATCCACTCACATATCATCGCAAACATGATCATCATCATCATCATCATCATCATCATGACATATCCTCCTCACTCACACGCACGCACACACACACACGCACTCACTCATTCGCACTCACTCTCCTCCTCACTCATCACACTCATCATCGTCATAATCAGCATCATCATCACTTCTTTTCCTCAGTCACACATTCACTCATTGATCATCATCACCCAGTCACTCATCACTTCGTACTTCGTCAACAATCACTGAATCACTCATCACTTCGACACCAATCACTCCCTAGCTTGAGCATGGAGGAAGCATCAAGCAGGAGCCTCGTCTGTGAGTGAATTGTGCGGAAATCTCAGGCGGGCGCCCCTCCCTATGTGGCCCGCACCTCATGCTTCAAATCCGAAACGGGTCATTCGAAACGTGTAGCAGTCGTCACTTTTGGGCCCCTTTGGCGAGAATCTGGAGGTCGTATCAGACGGGAGCCTCGTCTGTGAGTGAATTGTGAGGAAGTCTCAGGCGGAAACCCCTCCCTATGGGGCCCGCACCTCATGTTTCTAATCCGAAGCGGGTCATTCGAAATGTGTAACTGTCGTCACTGTTGGGCCCCTGTGGCGAGAATCTGGAGGTTGTATCAGGCGGGAGCCTCGTCTGTGAGTGAATTATGTGGAAGTCTCAGACGGGAGCCCCTCCCTATGGGGCCCGCACTTAATGTTTCCAATCCGAGGCGGATCATTCGAAACGTGTAACTGTCGTCACTTTTGGGCCCCTGTGGCGAGAATCTGGAGGTAGTATCAAGCGGGAGCCTCGTCCGTGAGTGAATTGTGAGGAAGTCTCAGTCGGGAACCCCTCCCTATGTGGCCCGCACCTCATGTTTCTAATCCGAGGCGGGTCATTCGAAACGTGTAACTGTCGCCAGTTTTGGGCCCGTGTGGCGAGAATCTGGAGGTAGTATCAGGCGGGAGCTTCGTCTGTGAATGACTTGTGAGGAAGTCTCAAGCGGGAACCCCTCCCTATGGGGCCCGCACTTCATATTTCTAATCCGAGGCGGGTCATTCGAAACGTATAACTGTCGTCACTGTTGGGCCCCTGTGGCGAGAATCTGGAGGTAGTATCAGGCGGGAGCCTCGTCTGTGAGTGAGTTGTGAGGAAATCTCAGACGGGAGCCCCTCCCTATGTGGCCCGCACTCATGTTTTTTATCCGAAGCGGGTCATTCGAAACGTGTAACTGTCGTCACTTTTGGGCCCTTGTGGCGAGAATCTGGAGGTAGTATCAGGCGGGAGTTCCGTCTGTGAATGAATTGTGAGGAAGTCTCAGGCGGAAGCCCCTCCCTGTGGGGCCCGCAGCTGACGTTTCTAATCCGAAGCGGGTCATTCGAAACGTGTAACTGTCGTCACTTTTGGGCCCCTGTGGCGGGAAACTGGAGGAAGTATCAAGCGGGAGCCTCGTCTGTGAGTAAATTGCGACGAAGTCTCAGGCGGGATGCCCTTCCCTATGTGGCCCGCACTTCATGTTTTTAATCCGAGGTGGGCCCCGTGCAGGAGCAACGGGCCACCATCGTGTCCTTCGAGTTGCACGCAGACGACGAGCGGGACTACGAGGAGCGCGCGCCGGGCCAGCTCGTCCGCCCCCGCTACCTACCGCAGGGAATCTGGCTGCAGGTGCACGGCTTCCAGGAGTCCCCGATCTACAAGGAGGTCGCCAAGGTGCTGCCGCAGGGCGCCGACTGCGCTGCCGACGACGCCGAGGCCGAAGCGCGGGCGAGGAGCTTGCTCATGTTCAGGCCCAGCGAGCAGGAACTCACGTGGCAAAGCTCGCGGGCGCACACTGTGCGCCGCTCGGGGTTCACCCTGACGCACGCGTCCTACCTGACCTCCACGCTGTCGCAGGGCCAGACGCTGCGCAAGGGCGTCACCATCGACTGCGCCAGGGATGAGGACGCTGACCGCACGGGCATGTCGGACGAGATTTGGTGGCTGCACCTCTACGTCATGTTCTCCCGCGCCACGTGCATGCGGAACATGCTGATCCTGCGGCCGCCCGCGCGAGAGTTCC